CACACACACACACACACACACAGTTATGATGATGATTTGGTGAAGGTGTCAGTAAGCTGGTGCTTGTGCTGCGGCTGTGAAGGCGTCACCTGTCTGTGTCTGGAGGTGAAGTATCTGGACACACCGCTGCCGCTCGCTCCAGACGCTCCTGATCTCTCGCTCAGCTCCACTGACTGCAGCGGACCGAAGCGGCTGAAGACGTCCATCATAACACTCTACAAACACACACACAACCACACGGCTTCAGATCACAGTCACAGCACGACTGAAGAGTCCTCTGCCCAATGCGTCCATGTACATGTGTGAACTCAAGCTCAAACTGAGCGCACTGCATTGTGGGATACAGCGGTCTGAGCTTTGTAATCGCAGTTTAACCGGGGTTTTCAAACTGGAGTGCAAGGAAACGTTTACTGGAGAAAAACTGTAAAATTAAGAAATAATAAACAATGTAAAAAAATACAATCATATTAAAATAAATGCATAAATAATTGGATAACAAAAAAATGATTACATATAAAATATTTATATTACTAACACAATTGAATAAAATTATTTAAAAAAACTTTGAATCAAATAAAACTTTAAAAATGATTCAAATACATATAAATTATATGAAAAATAATCACAGTGAATCAGACAGTTTTGGTGAACGTCACCTTCCCAGAAAGAAAGGCTCAGTGGTCAAGAGATGTGCTTATGTCATCACCCCAATCACACAATAGTGAGAAGCTTTTGAATGCAAAAAGCACAGTAACGTTGAGAGAGGAAGAGAGGGAAAGCAGCGAGCCTCAAGATGATCAGTGTGTGCAGTCAGCAAACATCTCCTGTTCAGCAAATAGTAAGAATTATTGTTACATCTGTGGGAAACCTCAGTCCAAGTTAGCGCGCCATTTGAAAACTCATATGACTGAAGTTGAAGTTGTGCAGGCTTTGTCACTCCCGGTTCACTCGAAAGAACGTAAAGCAATGCTGCAAAAGCTCAGGAACAAGGGCAACTTTCAGCATAACACCGACGTTTTGCAGTGTGGAGAGGGGGCTCTTAAAATAAAACGGGCAACAAAAAGAAAGTGTGTTTCAAAGCAGTTTGTGCATTGCATGTACTGCAAAGGGATGTTTGTACGGAGAGATCTGTGGCGTCATTTGAGAAGATATCCCTCAAAAGCAGAAGCTGACAGTGAAAACCAAGGGAGGAGGAGAGTTTTGAGTCTTCATTCAGTCAGCACATATCTCGAGGCGTTTGGAAACTCTTAGGCATTTTGAGATTCCTGATCATCATAAGACTGGTTTTCTGCAGGTGTTCAGAAGATGCCCATTGAGAGCACCACTGAAGTTCCTGAAGGTACCAGAGGTTTAAATTGCAATACCACCATCAATGTAAGTACATGAGCTCTCATAGAGTTAGAACTCTCTACAGTATGTATTCTTCTGTACAGAGAGCGAGTGTGAGGCAGAAACTGAAAACCCACGGAGAGGGCAGAAAGTGTCCTGGTCAGATGCTGAAATTACAGCTGTAAT